ATTCTTTTGAACAACTGAGATTAAGAATTCTAAAGTTCAATTTAGAATCATTTTCTAAAAGAAAAGATACTCAAGTCAGCTATTATAGTCATTTCTAAATCAGTTATGTTTCTAATTAAGAAAAAATGTTGTTTTCTAATGTTGTGACTTTTAGTTAAGTAATCAATACATAGATAAGGAAAATCCATATAAGCTTAATGGCACCTATACCCACTAACCCTCCAGACCCCAATATGCAGTTCGTGGTACCTTTAAATCTTGCTTTGTATCTTTTCAGTAGGTGTGCCTAAGGAGGCAAGATGGAAAAACAGAAATTGGTACATGGACAGCGCTTGCTCTAGGGCATATGGACTGGTGATAGAAAGAAGTTCACCAGATTAGAAAGAAAAAGGGAACAAATCTTTGGAGGAGAAAGCAAATAGGTAAAACAGGTGTGGTAGGTTCTAATCCTTCTAAAAGCTCAAGTAAATGATTACAATAAACTTGTTTAAGTGTTAGTCAGATTGGGAAAATAAATAGAGAGTTGATCTCTATTGAACACCTTCTCATTGTTGATAGTCAGAAACATGCATGATAATGAAAACCTTTATTCGTTGGAATAAAGGTTTAGAAATAATTATTACCTAGTAGATCTCTCTATATGCATAACCAGGGATATATTGTTTTAAGTTTCCTGTTGAGGAATTCTAGTTGATGGCATAGAAGACTTGGACATGCAAGCTAATGCACCTTATTTCTACTGTCTAAGTAAAGATCACCAAAGGTTGAAATTCGAAAAAGATCACATTTGTGATGCTTGTCAAATGGGCAATATCAACCAGAAATAATACTTTTAAATCCATAGGGCATGGCGTTTTCTACTTCTGACCTTTAAAACCCTACACGGTTCAATTACTCTCCCTTGTAAAAAATTCTATGCATTGTATTGTAGATGATTACTCTAGATTCACCTGGACACTCTCCTTACGCAAATAAGGATGAGTCATATGACCTTCCTTAGAAATAAGGATGAGTCATATGACATGTTTGTTCATCTTTGCAAGAGAATACAAAATGAGAAAGGATACAACATCATGGCAATCAGAAGTGATCATGGAGGAGAATTTGAAAATCAGAAATTCGATGCTTTTTCCAACAAGTCAAGAATCTTCCATAACTTCTTAGCACCTAGAACAACTCAACAAAATGGAGTAGTGGAACGCAAGAGCAGAACACTTCAAGAAATGGCAAGAACCATGCTAAGTGATTCTAAACTGTCAAAGTATTTCTGGGCAGAAGCAGTTAACACTGCCTGTTATATTCTAAACAGGGCTTTGGTAAGATATAATCTTAAAAAGACTCCATATGAGCTATACAAAGATAGAAAACCAAATATTGGTTATTTCCACATTTTTGGGTGCAAATGCTTTATTCTAGATAACAAGAAAAATCACCTTGCTAAATTTGATGCTAAATCTTATGAAGGCATTTTTCTGGGATATTCTAGTAATAGTAAACTGGGATATTCTAGTAATAGTAAAGGGCATATGAGTATTTAATTAAAAAGATATAGTTGTAAAGAATCTATTCAGTATTGTGTTTGAATGAAAACTAGACTCTACACTAGAAAATTAGAAAGTAATGATGTGTAGATCAATCATGAAAGCAAATGAACAATCAGAACAACTAAACAGCCAGAAAGTGAGCAGAACACTGATAATCAGGCTGAACCAGAAGGTTGAACAATGAAGATCAGAATATAGTGAAAAAGTTCAAATGCCAGAAAGAGAAGAAAATTTTGAAGGAGATTCTCAATTACCAAAAGAATACGATTTCATAAGTATCATCCCAAGAAGACATATGGATAATCCCTTAGAAAGGATGATGACTAGAGCTGCAACTTAAAAGATATTTTGTAATATGTGCTTTCGTTTCTCAATTAGAACCTAAAAATTTAGAAGGATGCTCAAAATGATGAAAGTTGGATTCTTGCTACGCAAGAAGAGCTAAATCAATGGTTGAGATAAACGAAGTTTAAAGAAAACTTGTTTCTGAGACCTAAAAAACCATTTTGTTATGGAACAATAATGGCGTGTTTTAGAATAAGCTTGTATTAACAAAGTAACGTTTTTGAGAAATTTAAAGGCGAAGATTAGGGGCTCAAGGGTAGCAACCAAGAAGGAAGGCAAGTCGAGTTATTGAATGAAAAACCTTTGCCCCGCGTTTGCGAGACTTTAGGCCCATTTAGAAAATGCTTTTTGGGCATTTGACATGTTTTTTAAAAACATTTCATATTATATCAAGATGGAATGTGGAAAAGTGCTTTTCGTAAATGCGTTTTCTAAATGAACAATGTATGTAGGAACAAAACCTCCTGGTTTTGAAATTTTTGATAAACCTTAATCATGTTTACAAAGCTTACTAAAGCTCTTTATGGTTTGAAGCAAGCTCCGGAGAGCTTGGTATGTGAGATAGTATTGATTTTTATAGTGTTTTTATTGTAATTCTCATTAAGATTTCTAGAACTTTTAATTAAATTTCATATAATATTTGTATGATTTTAATCAAAAGCATCCTTGAATTACAACTCACTTGATTGGGAAGAAAATTGTAGGATTTTGCAAAGAAAAGAACAAAACAAGACAAAATACAATTGGCACGCCCCAGCCTGTGCTAAGGAGCACGGCCATGCCTAGCACAAGGCAAAACAAGCCAAAAAGCCAGAGGCGTGCACGCCCCAGACCATGCCGAGCCGCACGCCCGTGCCACAAGTGTCCTAGACTTCCAAAGAGATGCACGCCTCAGCCCGTGCCAAACCGCACGACCGTGCCCGCACTGGAAGGAAAGACCTAAGCCGTGCAGCTTGCCGCACGCTCGTGCCGCACCAGCACTAGACTTTCAGAGAGATGCACGCCTCAACCCGTGCCATCCCGCACGGCCGTGCGCGCTATCACCTAGACTTCCAGGAGACTGCACGGCCAGACAGCATGCCCGTGCGCGCTAGCTTGCCAGACCATGCTACGGAACACGGCGGACACGGCCCGTGCCCCGTGCCAAAGCCTCTAAACCTCCAAAGCCTGGCACGCCCCTGGCCGTGCCAGGCAGCACGCCCGTGCCAATCAAGAAATCAATATTTTCTTAGTCAAAAGTTGGCAACCAACCTCCACCAAATTATGGAGCTAATTTTGGACAACTTTCATCACATGCAAACCAAGGTCAAATCTATGCACATGGGTGAGTCATAATTAAAGAAAATGGAGACCTAAAAAGAGAGCTTTACAAACCTAACACAAGAAGACTTCGATCATTAAATTATATGGAAACTTATCTCAAAGAAGTCTATATAAAGAAGAGTAGAGTTCATCTCAAGGGAATTGACATCCTACATTACACTCCACTCTCCACATTTTTCTCATTTTATAGTTTTATATATAGTTTATTTTTAGAAGTTAGGCTCTCAAGAGTTGTGAAGAGTTCAAGGAAGCCATCCAAGAAATCCCTCTCTAGTTCTTATTTCTAACTCTTAATCTTATTTATTTCTTTCATTATCCTTATTGATTATGGAAAATTTATCAAGAATTGCTGAGTTTTATTTAAGTACTATGTGTAACTAAACTCTTATACTAGGGGGTTTGATGTAGCTTAATCTATTTTCCAATTTATGCAATTAGATTTATTTTTTCCTTATTCAGTTAATGATTTATTAAATGAACTTAATGCTCCTAGGCAGAATTTTCCCCTAGATTGATTTTATTTCAATTATCAACTCTATCGGAAGAAGGATCTTTGGATATGAAAAGGCTAATAAAACACATGAGAAATAATAACTTGATGCGGAAGCTATACGGTTTGAACTCAGGGGGGTTTTCAATAAGTTAATACCTTAAGGTTATGAATTCACCAAACAAACCATAAAACTATAATGAACTTTAATTCAATGTTTGATTGCGCCTAATTGGAAGATAGGAAATTAGACCGGTTAAAATAGCTAACAATAACATTCGGGAAGCTTGTTAGTGATTTTTGGGTTGTTTTCCCCTACTTGAATAATTAAATTGATCAATGAACTAATGAAATAAATTGGGATAGAGTTAAGTGAAATCAAAACCCCTATAGCTTTACTTCCTGATTTCTTTTAATCAATTTTTGTTTACTTGACTCTTGTTTTTATTTTACATTTATACAACAAATCATCTTAATTATCGTTTAAATAATTAACAGATACATAATTTTGGTACTTGGATTAACACATCCCTGTGGATACGATACTCATCTCATCATATATTACTTGTGGCGATTCCGTACATTTGCGAAATAAGCTGTCAGGTTTTTTGGCGCCGTTGCCGGGGATTTGGCAATAACCAATATCAATACGAATTGTCTTGTTATTAATTTAGACATTTACTTATTCATCTTATTTCTCTATAGAATATCTCGGTTATGCAAAGAAGATCCAGAAGGACAGAACCTCTGAATCTTTGATCCAGAAATAGAAAAAACCCTGCAGAAGAAACAACGCAGCAAGGAGAGCAAACTAAAGACAACAGATCCGACAACAATCAACATGGAAACGGAATTAATCCCTCAACTTCAGAATATACCTCTTGCTGCAATCCTCAATCAATAACAGCAGCCAACGTCCTGTACCTTGCGAATTATACTACTCCTTCTCTCAATGGAGCTACTCCAGATCACTAGACCAATGAGTGGAAGCAAATTTAATTTTGAAATCAAAACCTGCAATAATTCAAAATGCTTTCCACTTCTATTCAATATGGAGGACTGCCGAACTGCCTAGTGAAGACCCTAATCTCAACTTATCATCTAATTTCCTGGAAATTTGTGACCTTCAAACAAAAATGGTGTTTCTGGAAGATGCCATTAAATTGGAGACTCTTTCCTTTCACTCTAAGGGACAAAGCACGATCATGGCTATCAATCTTGTCCTGCTTGAAGTTTTTAACAACTTGGGAAGAGTTAGCCCAGAAATTTTTCAATTCTTCCCATCTTCTAAAACAACTAAATTAAGAAAATGAGATTATGACTTTTGCTCATCATATCAAAGAAAGCTTGTATGAGGCTTGGGAAAGATTTTAAAGATTTGTTTGAGAAAATGCCCTCACCATATTTTGCCCAAATGGTTACAAGTCCAAACTTTCTATAATTCATTAATCACACTAACATTAAAATCAACTTTGGATGTTGCTGCAGGAGGATCTTTTGAAAGAAAAGAGATTCGATGAGGCATACGGATTTAATAGAAGAATGGCAAGCAATAGCCATTATCAAAGCAGTTCTGAAAGAAAGAAAATTCTGGAAATCTATGAAATTGATCCATCACAGGCACTAAATGCAAAGGTTGACAAACATGTAAGAAAGTTAGATTGCTAACCACTAAGTCTTGTAAATTCCTATCATACAAACTTGTGACAGAGTAACGAACCGCATGGAGTGGAGAATGCATGCTAGAATTCTGCAAATCCGCAAACTTTTTTGGAGCAAGTGAAATATGTGATGAAATCAACAAAGGAGGAATAAACCCATATTCGAATCCCTACGATAACAGGTTGAGGAATCATCCAAACCTTTCATATGGAAATTCTAACAACACTTTAAAATGCACCACAAGGTTTCTTGCTCCGGAAAAAAAAGTCTCATGATGATCTCCTCACTGCCACTATCAAAATCCGCACATGGATTTTCATGAACGAACAAGAGAACACAATAAAATCCAACCAAGTGCGACTAAGGAATCTGGAATCCAAATGGGACAGTTTGCAAACATGATTGGCATGCTAGACTCAAGGTTACGTTACTAGCAAACAACGGAAAAATCCTAGGAGCAGGTACAAGCCATCACCTTAGAGGAGTGGAAGAGGGATTGGAAGGACAAAACCTAGAAAAGAGAAAAGAAGGAAGAAAGGAAGAAGGAGAAAAAAGGCTTCCTATCATCGATTCTAGTGGAGAAAGAAGAATAAAACCTTATGTTCCCACCCATTCCTTCCCACAAAGAATTAAAAAAGACGCAAGATGATCAAAGATTTCATGAAATCCCTGGACGTCTTCAAGAAGCTTTCAAATAAACATCCCCCTTTGCTGAAGCCCTCTTGCTCAAATGCCAAGTTATGCAAAAATTCTTGAAGAAATCTTTGAGCAAGAAAAGAAAATTGATGATCAAGGGATGGTACAAACCTGACTGAGAATGCAGGCGCAATTATTCAAAACAATTGCCACCAAAAGCTTAAAAGATTCAGGGAGTTTTTTCTAATTTCCTTGTAACATTGGGCCAATTTAAAATTTGAAAAGGCTTTTAGCTGACTTAGGAGCTAGCATAAATCTGATGTCTTATGAAGTTTTTAAAATTGCTGAAGGTTATGGGGGAAAACTCAAAGCCAACAAGGATGTCTCTAACAATTAGCCGATGACTCCGAATCAAATAATCCCAAGAATATAGAAGACGTACTAGTCAAGATAGGAAAATTTATTTTTCCAGTTGAATTTTGTCATCCCTTGATATTGCAATGAAGAGAGAGGGATCATTGATCCTTTGGAAAGACGTTTTTCTTGCAACTCAAGAGCTTTATAATTTGACGTTACATGATGAAACTTGACAATTACGAGTTGGTCGAGGAGGGTCGTCTTTTCCGATGTGTTAAAATCTTGTAAATTCCCATGGACTGCGATGATTGCTTTAGAATAGATGTAATAGATACATGTGTAAAATAAAACTTCCTATATAGCAATAGAGATAACAATTGGCAGAAAAAGAAAAAGAAAAAGAAGATACAGCCACCTAACCAAGACTGAAGCAGCTTCCTCACTCATTTGAAGCATGCATTTCTAGGTGAAACAATTCTTGTCCTGTTATTATTTCTTTCTCACTTAACGCTTGATCAAGAGGAAAGGGTTGTTGCAGGTTGCTTCGAAAGCACAAGAAGGCAAATAGGATGGTCAATTTCTGATTTTACAAGGAATAAAGCCCAAGTGTATGCAATGCATAAAATCCTAATGGAAGACGACTACAAACCTTCAATCGAACATCAAAGAACGTTTGAAATCCAAACATGAAGGAGGTGGTGCCAAAGCTGAAATCCATAAAACTTCTGGAATGCCGATTATTATCTTATCCAATCTCGATAGTAAAGTTGGGTAAGTCCTAATTCAAGTTGTGCCCCAAAGAAGGGAGGTATGACTGTCATCTTTAATGAAAACAATGAAATTGATTCCCCTAGAACAGTCCACAGGTTGGCGTGTGTTGCATTGATTACAGAAAATTTAAACAAAGCACACACGTAAAGACCCATTTTTCCCTTACCCATTTATTGATCAATGCTTGAAGAGAACTTGCAGGTTATCCTTTCTACTGTTTCTTGATGGTTATTCCCGGGTATTTCACAATACCCATTGCTCCGGAAGAATCAAGAAAAGACTACTTTCACTTGTCCTTATGGACTTTTGCCTATAGGAGAATGCCTTTTGGATTATGCAAATGCTCCTGCACCTCCAAAGATGCATGATGTCCATATTTTTTCTGATATGGTTGAGAAATCCATTGAGATATTTTATGGATGATTTTTCTGTATTTTGGTTCTTCTTTCCGATGCATGTCTTTATAATCTATTCTTTAGTAATGCAACGATGGTGAAGAATACTAACCTGTGTTGAATTGGGAAAAATGTCAATTTCATGGTTATTGAAGGTATTGTCTGGGGCACAAAATCTCTTAGTAAGGAATTGAAGTTAGACAAAGCCAAAATCGAGGTAATTGAAAACTACCTCCTCACTAACTCAGTGAAAAGGCATAAGAAAGTTTTTCTTGGTCATGCAGGGTTCTACAGAAGATTTATCAAGGACTTCTCAAAAAATCAAAAACCTTTTTGTAAATTTTTTTGTTAAGTTAAAGATGTTTCTTTCAAATTTTGACAAAGAGTGTTTAGAATGCTTTTACAGATTAAAAAAAGAGTTAATTTCGGCACCTATCATCACTACACCGACTGGACTCTTCATTTTGAACTTATGTGTGATGCTAGTGATCATCGCTGTTGGAGCTGTTCTTGGGCAAATGGAAGGACCAGAAGTTGCATGTCATCGTATTATCTAGTCACACCTTGAATAACGCACAATTTGAATTAATGCACTACCGAAAAAGAATTGTTAGCTATTGTTTTTTGCTTTTTGAACAAAATTCAGGGCCTATTTTAATTGGAGCAAGAAAACAATAGTTATACAGAATCATTCAGCCATCAAATATTTGCTAGAAAAGAAGATGCCAAAACCAAGATTGATTCGTTGGTTCTCTTATTGCAGGAATTTGATTTGGGAAATTCGCGATAAGAAGGGAACCGAGAATCTTGGTTGGCTGACCACCTTCCAGATTAGAGTTGAGGAAAGGAGGATAACAACCACTTAACAAATCAAACGAGAACTTCCCCCATGAGCAAAACTTTTGCTAATGGTAAAACAGCTCAAACCCCCCTAGTATCTGTATAAGTCAACTATCTTGGTGTTGAAAATTACTCCTCCCAATTTTTCTTATCAACAAAAGAAAAGATTTTTCCATGATAATCAAATATACTATTGGAGGAGCCTTTTTTGTTCAAACATTGTAGTGATCAACTATTCAGGGCGGTGTATACCGGAAAGTGAAATGGCAAAAGTGTCCTTAAATTCTGCCATATCGATGGAATGTGGGGGGGCATTTTGGAGCAACAAGACAGCCGCACGTATTTTGGAAAGCGGTTTGTATTGGCCTAATCTGTTTAAAGATGCTTTTAACTATGTTCGCTTGTGATCAATGTCCAAAGGGTTAGGTAACATTTCAAAGCGACATGGGAGATGCCCTTTTGCATGGCAATTCTTGAGGTCGAAATCTTCGACATTTTGGGGTCCTAGACTTCATGGGACCTTTTTCCATCATCAACTATTCAAAAATCAATACATTCCTAGTGGCGGTGGATTACGTGTCAAATGGGCAAAAGCATGCACTTCCCAGTAAACGATGCCAAAAGTGTAATGAAGCTTCATCAAGAATACATTTTCACACGGCATGTACTCCAAAGCAATAATCACCGATGGAGGTAAGCAATTTCTGTAACAAGTACTTGAACTCACTACTTTCCAGGTTATGGCGTTACACATCGTGGTTAGGTACTCCATATCACGCCTAACAAGCGGACAAGTAAGTCACGAACCGGTGAAATCAAGAAAGATTTTTGGAGACAACTGTTGGCCAAATCAAGGAAGGACTGGTCCAAAAAGCTCGATGATGCTCTTTGGGCCTACTAGAACTGCATTAAGACGCCAAATTGGCATGTCAAACCATATCGAATGGTATACGGTTAAGGCTTGTCACCTCCCTGTCGAGATGGAGCAGCAAGGCGATATTGGGCAGATCAAATTTCTTAATTTAATACTAAAGGAAGCTGGTCAAAAGAGGTTGCTGCTTCAATTAAATATGATGGATGAATTGAGCTCACGCTTATGAAAAATGCCAAGATCTATAAAGAACCACGCAAACAATGGCATGATAAGCGCATTATTCTGGCGGAATCTAAGGGTAAGGCCAGCAGGTTTACTCTACAACTCTACTCTGCCTTTTTCTGGAAAACTGCACTCAAAGGTGGTCCCGGCCCACTTCACGATTAAAGAAATTTTCCCGCATCGGAGCAGTAGAGATTATGGACAGTGACCGAAGTTTCAAAGTTTAATGCTCACGACTAAAGTTTACCAAGGTGGAAATTTTTGATCCTATTAAAACCGCTATCAATCCTTGAGTAAGCTTTAATGCAGGTTTGGTACGTCGAAACTTAACGACGTTAAACAAAAGTGCTTATGGGAGACAACCCATTTTCATTATGAATTAGTTTGTTTTAATGACTTTTATTTGCTTTTTACAGTTGTCCAAAAAAGTTACAGATAATCTAGGTGTGTAAACTTAGCTAGACCGTGCTCAAAAGCAAATTAAAATTTGAGAAAGAAGAGGTGTAACCGCCCTGGAAACCGTGCCCGCGCAGCACTGCCCGTGCACCATGCGCAGGACTTCCAGGAGTGCACCTCAGACCGTGCCGGCACCGCAACGCCACGTGCCCGCATGCCGCCAGACATCTAGAGAAGTGCACGCCTAAGGCCGTG